TGTGAGAAAGTAGTTACTAAACTGTTCAGCAGATTTTCTTCAGAATTGATACACCCCAATCGATCTAACTGATGTCGCTCGGTCCTTGAATTTGAAAGATATTTTAGTATTGTGGGATACTTTATGTATAACCCCTGGGGCATTTTAAAATTTAAAAAAATTGCTCTTTCGATTTTCATTTAATTTTGTTCGATAATGCGAACGACGTTTAAGACAATGGGGCAGGTGTCATGTTCATTGAGATTTTGGAAGTTTTTGGAAGTCTTCCTACAACTAAAATATTGAGGATTGATTTTTTCCCTTAATAAAATCTCTTCCATGAAGCTAGATTTTGAAATAAGGTCGTGTACAATTTTTGGAAAATGTGAGAAATTGTTGCATAATTTTACGTCAAATTATGGACGAGAAAGTACGTGCTGTAGGAGCACCACTATTTTCCCATTGGTTTGCTAGTTTCAGTAAATTCTCTTGTACGGTTTTGTTTTCAAGGAATCTAAATTGTCACATAGTGACCTTTGTGATATGCTATTGCTAACTAATGTGTGGGAAAATTCTTAAATTCCTCTTTTTGAATTTGATTGAAAAGTAATGAATTTTGTCACAGAAATAAACTTACTTTCTCAAAATTGTAGATTATAAGTGATTGAGAATCATGGTATTGATTGAATAAATGAAAATTAAGTAGTGTCAAACATGAGTTGGGCAATTTTACTGTATTGTGAAGAGAAAGTATTGAAATGCAGTGTCAGAAAGCAATTTTTTGACAAAAAAACTTCTATTGCTGGGGCCTGGAACCAAAAAAGTGAATAATTCTTGTCCCTTTATTTAGCTTCCTCTAACGTATGTAGTCAGAATTCATGTTTTGTGTCTCATTTTCATTGAAAATCGCAAAAGCTCAGAATTTTTTCAGAGTATTCCTAAACTACAATGTTGAAGTTAGAGATTTTTTCCTGAAAAACATTTATTGTTCAAAGACCTATCATGAGATAAGGCTGTGAATGATTTTTTCGAAATATAAGTAGTTTTCAAGTAATTTTGTGTGAAATGTAGGCAATTTTTAAAGAAATAATTTTCTCAAAAATGGCTCCAAATATTTTCTTCCAATTTCCCCCTCAATTGTAGAAAAGGATGGTTAAAAAGTGCTACTGGTTGCATTGTAAATGACATGTTTTTTAAGTGATTAGATCTTATGTAAGGTTATAATGTACAATTGTTTGGAAAAGTGAGTTTGGCAAGAGGTGTTCTTCCAAAAAAAGCATCAGTGTTTCTAAAATTAGACTTAGTTATATTTCTGCAAAATTTGCCTTACGGAAATTATTGTTTGTAATGAATTCTTCGTATTTTTAACTATTCTTTCAAATGGTTCTTGCATATTCCTCTCCGTTTCAGTTAAACATTAATGTTAATGTTCCCATCTTTCAAACACTGTTGTTGTGTATGATGCACCAAGTAATTATGTTATCATTGCTTCCCAAAAAATTAGTTTTTATCATTTGGAAGTTGTGTAATTGTGCAAGTGTAATTGTGCAAGTGTAATTGTGTAAGTGTAATTGTGCAAGTGTAATTGTGCAAGTGTAATTGTGCAAGTGTAATTGTGCAAGTGCAATTGTGCAAGTGCAATTGTGCAAGTGCAATTGTGCAAGTGCAATTGTGCAAGT